ACTTGAATTCAGCAAAAACTCAATGAAATCTTCAATGTGAGAAGGATCATACTTCAAGTACCTCCTATAAACCCTCAGTGAGGTCTCAATAGGGATACCTTTTTGGCTCACAAATACCAAATAAGGCTCCCAAATCCTGTCATGCTGAGTCACTGGCAACGCACAGAGAGCCCTGTCAAAAGTCCTACGAGTTCTAGTAATCAACTTCTGTTCTGTCAGGGTTTGCAAGTACATTATCCATATCCTGGGCATCTTGTGCATTGTAACAAGAGCTCTTTCAAACGTATTGTTAAGGGTGTCATACTTGGGGTGAGTAACGGGTAGATTTCTAACAATTTCAAGGCGTTCTCGCAGGTACGCATGCCATAGCTTGTAGCTACCAGGAAGAGCTTTAAGTGCGCGTTCATAGATTATGAAACGGTTACTGAAGGGAGCTTCAGACTTAGCAATCAGATAACGCCACCACAACTTCAGACTAAAAGGGTTGCGTAAGATCTCCTCCTCGTAGGGGAGGTCCTCTTGAGATGGGTAAAGTTCTTTTGAGATCGACATGAGAGCAGAAAAAAAAAAGCCCTAAAACCTTCTCAGAACGGTAGAGATACTGACCTGGTTGAACATTTGGAAACAGAGATTCACTTACCCAGACACTTAAGCCCTAGAGCTGCCGTCGCACATGGTGGTGCGAATCCGAGATGAAAACGAAGGAATAAGGTCGGCTAAGGACAAAAACGAAATCGAGGGGCCAAAGGAGAAACTAGACGTGGAAGTCCCTAATGAGAGAAAAAAAAGAGGACTCTACAAGCACTCGGTCGTCGTTGGTGAGATTTCTCTGGCGGGGCTTTTGATTTTTGTGTTCTTCACAAGAAACGTTATTTTCTTGCTCAAAACATACAACAATGGCGTCTGCTTGATGCACTGCTCAAAAGTCCAAAATATCCTCCCCCTGCATGTTTAAATTTCAGAATCAAGATTGACAAAATGTTAATTTCGTTAATAATTCTTTCTGTATATTCTATTTGTTGTTAACTAGGTGGTCGATTGCTGAGAGTTGAGAAGTCGAAACGGCACGAGATGATGGAGAGAACGTGGAAAATGATTACGAAGAAGAAGTATATGCCGTTATCGAGGCACCTGAAGAAATCAAAGACGTTCAAGGACACATGAGAGAATTAGGTGAACGTGGATTCGCTCGCTGAGCCGTTGCCGGTGGTGAAGAAATCGGAAACGTCCAAGGACCAGACCAATTTCCAGATGTCACCGGTGCAAGTGAGCTCGTCCCCGGCTTCAGTATTGAAGCTGAGAAAGGAATCGTTGCTGAGTCAGGACGAGTAGAATCGACGAGTTGAGGCATTTATAAAGAAGTTCAACGAGGAGATGAGGTTGTTGAGGTTGGAATCACTTAATCAGTACTAAGTAAGGGTGTTCGCGGTGTGGTTTGGTTTGGATTTTATTATTTTTTACAATGTTTTTGAACCCGGCCCAGTGGTTGGCCCGTTTTGACCACCGGGTCTGGGTCAACCGGACCGGTTCAACCGATTAACTAAAAAAAAAAAATTTTTCTGACATTTTTATTGAATTTTATTGTTGTAGGTTAGTTTTACTCTATTTTTAAGAAATAATCCAATTATGCTCAAAATGATGATGAGGAATAGAAGGAGGGCAGCGGAGGAGAAGAAGTTCTGCTTTGCTGCTTCTATTGAGTGAATGACGAGGAAGATTCTGATTTCCATTGTTGCTTCTGTTCGGTGGAGCAAAGAGAAGAAGGGCACCGACAGAGGAGATGAGGAAGAGAAGGAGGGCAGCGATGGAGGAGATGGTATGTTCTGCAACAGTGTGACTTTTGTTTTGCTTTGTTGTTTCAGTCTAGTGAGGAAGGAGGAGGTGATCGGCAGTCAACAGAGGAGATGAGGAGGAGGCACTCAGCAGAGGAAAGAAACCACTTTCCCGAAGACGATCTGTTCTGTTTTGAGCCAATCAGATGAGGTAGATGGTGAAGATCGACGGAAGAGAAGAAGTGCAATGACATAGGAGAAGATCGGCGGACGATCGGTGGAAGAGAAATCGACGGACGATCGACGAAGAGAAGATCGGCGGAGTGGCGGACGATCGGCGGAAGACCCTTCTGCAGTTCTGTTGGTACTTGGTTCCTCCTGAATCTGGGTTTTGCAATTTGTTTCCAATTTCCACTGTCCCGAGCTGCTGATGATTTTAGATTCTTAGGATTTTTAGTTTTTACTTTTTAGTTTTTACTTAGTTAATTAGTTTAATTGATTTTTAATTTAGGTTTTAAACTTTAATTTAAGTCAAAAGACAAAAACTTAAAATTAAACAGATGGTGAAAAACTGAAAATTTCAGCCCGGGCGAGCATGGCGGGTCACACTGGTTCAGCGGGCACAACGGGCTTGCCGGGTGTCAACGGGTTTCAACGGGCCATTCACCTAAATGGGCTGAAGCCTTCAACCGGCCCGTTTTCAGGCCCGGGTCTGGTTCAATCGGTTCAACCAGTCGAGCATAGCCGAGTCCAAAAACATTGATTTTTTAAACCAATTCAATTTAATCGGTTAATAAAATTTTTAAACCAATCCAATTCACTATTATGTGGTAACCAAACCAATTCAATTTAAATCGGATCGGTGTGGTTCGGTCAGATTGATCGGTTTTTAATATTATTAAATATATAAGATAATGTAAAAATATTTTAACATCAAATAGAAAGTATAATTATTAAATAAATTAATATCCAAATCAGTAAAAACATAATAATATGTAAAAATTATAAATAAATTTTTATACTCCTTTATATTTATAAAAACTGAAAAGTTCCAAAAATTATTCTTGGTTATATCACTAGAGGCACCAAAAATAATAAAAAATAAGTTCAAATTTCTAATACAACGTAAATAATTCTTGAAGATTAAAATTCATTTTTTTTCCTAATGCACTAATAATTTAATCACATTTTCTAAATCATATTAAAAGTGAATAATATTTAATATGAATATTACTAAAATTGATTAGAAGTATTCATAATTAAAATTTAAAACTTCTAAACCAAATATCTAAAAATAGTAGAATATTAAGACTAATTTTATTATATAGTTTTAAAACTTTTAGAATGATACTTATTTAAAATTTAGTTAGGAGAACCATAAGATTATTTTAAGAATAAATTAAAAATTTAAGGTTCTAACAGTAAAGGCGCAAACTAGTTATAAAATAATAGAGTTGCAGATGAATTAAAAATTTAATAATAACTTAAGGAATATGAAAATGTTCTATTTTTATTTTTTTTAATTAAGTTAATGGAGTTATAATCTTGTAAAATAAGAAAAAGAAAATTTAAAATACTACAAAAAATGTGTTATATTATTAATTAAATTATCTTCTAATCGGATTTTATTTTGTAATCGGTCAGTTCGGGCGGTTTGAAAATAAAATCATGAACCAAACCAATTATATCGGTTTTAAAATTTTAGAATTCAAACCAATCCAATTTTATATTGGTTTGGATCGGTTTTTAATTGGATTGAATCAGTTTAGGTCGGATCAATCGGATTAAATCGGATATGAACACCTCTAGTACCAAGGAAATGATTAACCGTGGAAACCACTAAATTAACCGAGGGGTAATTACGAGTACTAATTTTTACTAGTATCATATAGAGCAGATAAAGTGTGTTTTGGCCCTTTTGGGGAAAAGAAAAACATATTATTAATTCCAAAAAAACAAAGGGGAAAAGAACCGGAAATATGTTAATTAATTTTTCTAATTTTGTTTTCTACAATAGGTTCAACGTTGGAGTTATTAAAAAAACAAAAGTCTTGAAAACTTTTTTCCTTTTTTAACTTAGATTTCATAAGCAGATGTGGTTTGAAAATTAGTTAGATCATAGAAATGTTTGCAAAGGAATATAACAAGTAGATGTAATGTACCAACGAGGGGTTGAATCAAGTGGTAAGCGGCTTGTTTCAGTTTAAGTAAGATCTCGAGTTCGAGACCTTGTGTACGCAGCAGCCCCCACTGGGAGACTCACCCACCATTTCTAGGTGCGCGACGCAGGTCGGGTCCGGATTAATTAGAGCGAAGCCCCAGATACCGG